TAAAGTCTATTTTTTGTTTACGATTAATTGTCGAAGCCCCCGCTTACCATTCAAAGTTGTTTTAAGTTAGGCGCTCTAGTATTTGGGGAAAAGGGGGATGTCCAGGATATATGATTTCTGCCTGCAAGGGACCTTCCATGAGTAGACAGGAGTTACTCCTAAGAAGGGTTGCGTATCTTCTTGCAAAGTTCTTTCTCGATGAAGACTAGTAGCATGTGATGAAAAGGGCCTGACTACTGCTAAGTCCAAGAAACCATCTAACAACTTGTGTTCTAATGAAACTCATCAAGAGCATGATCTCATAACGGCTTAGATTACCATGCCTTCACTAGACAAGGCTGTCGTTTAAAGTCGTGAGTCAAGATTCCAACTGCAAGAGCTTTACCGCTGGAAGCTTAGTGAACTGTAACATGATTGGTAGCGGCCAGCTACCTAGCCTGACAATTACTGAGCGTGAGACTCAGTAGTGTACAGGAACCAGGGTTGTGAATTGTTTAGGTCATTCCCTAATCACGTGACTACCCTCGGTGCTCTGCGCAAAATGTGAAAACTCCCCTCGTATGAAAACTGAGAAAGCCCGAGTGTCGTTCTCGTGGAAAGTACGAAACTCGGGGTAGGTTGAATCTCAGAGAGGGATGAAATGTTTTTTCAAGATAGAATCTCTCATGCGGGACTCAGACAAGTTCAAAGTTTTATGATGAGTAGTTATTTCTATTCGTTTAATCGCTTATAGTCGACCCCACACATTACTACAGAGTTCTCACAAGTGCAAACTATGAGCGACCGAGGCTAATATTCTGTCAATCGATCCCATACGCTCAGACATTCTCGACTATTTGGCTTTAAGGAAACCGGATCGATAGCCATCGCCTAAAACCCTAGTGATAAATGCGGCGATTTAGCATGACGAGGAAGCTCTGCGACCAACCAGAAGTCTATCTGTCCCAGAGTGCCTGAATTACCATAATTGTTCATAGTATAACCAGCATACGAAACTGATCTAAGGACGTAAAATGGGGCAATGAGGGAAGAGGAGGTCCTGGTGGCGAAGGGCCGATTAAACAAGGATAAGAAGGAAGGTTGGGAGGATGACGCATGCAGGGATATGGAGACATATATAATGAGCCAGAGGAGGTTTGTTGTTGAGACTGTTGGAGAAAGAAGATATATTGAGTATATAATCTACTTCTACGGACTTGATAGCAGGCTGCACAGTACCGGCTCAATGGTAGAGTCTGTGGAGAAGGCTAAGACAAAGCTCAGACAGGCATAGGGGTGTTCAAGACTCCTGCTTGAAGTCTGTTACGCTTTTCTCAGTAAACCAAGGCTTTCCAGTTTCGACCTCCTTTTATTCAACATTTCTCCACTACACAGTCAACGCCAAGGGGTCTCTCGACTTGAGGATACTCAGATGACGTTTAGGCAGTTTTCAAAACAAGTACTCAGAGTAACTTTTAATATTCAAGGCAGTGCCCAAAAAAGTTCTCAGTGTTGTGTTCGGTACTCGGGACCGTACTCGAAGCAATACTCAAGGCAGTATCTAACATACAAGGCCCTGCCCAGGCATGACAACTAATTTTGCAAACGGTAACCTCAAACAGCAGTTAGCTCGGCAACCAGTAATCACCACCGCATTTGGCTCTCAGTCGACGACCTCTACAACATCCAGTTTTACAATTAAGCGGCAGTCAATCAACAATATTTAATCCTTCATCAACAATTAATCAGTAATATCTAGTTCCCAATCAAGAACTAACCATCAGCCAGCCAACAACTGTAGTTAAGAGCGACGATCATAAAACTTGACTAGGAACAATACTCAAGATAACACTCAGAACAGTACTCAGAACTGTAACCAGAACTGCGCTCTGAACTGTACTCAGGACAGTTCTTGAAATAACACTCAGAGCGGAATTCAGTATTCAAGGCAATACTTGGGATGGTACTCTGAGCGGTATTTGAGCGCTACTCAGTTACTGCACGATCGGTATTTAGCTGCTATTCAATCTTTACTTAATCAACTCTCAATGACATTTTAATCAGCTTTCAGTTTGCAATTCGCTACAATCATTTTACCTTCCGGAAAACAGCATTTATAAACAACAATCAGAGATACCAGCCGGGAACAGTGATCAGAGAACGGCAGTCTGAAGTAGCAACAGAAAACAGCATTCAGATGCAGCATTCAGGAGAATACTATTATGAAATTCAGTACTTTTGACTGTACTCAGACCAGTATTAGGACTCGGCATTCTGAAAACGCGGTGGAAATATGCAATAGTCCTCTCATGCTTAGATCACACAAGAGTCATCCGCCTCGAGTCCGGCGAACTGATGTAGGGAGGATTCGGCAAAGGTATGGCGGACTGTAACTCAGTTAGAGTCTTCTGTTCTCTGTATCAGGGCACTACCGAGACCTGGAGGGATAGTGCAATGGAAGAGTACAGCCAGCAGACTATAGTGATGATGGAACACGCGCTGTCCCTTGTGAGAAGTCATACAAAAATCGAGTACGCATACTTTCTGCATGACAAGAATGGAAAGTTATGTATCATCATGACTTCTAAGGGTACTGTTGAGGAGGCGAGGAGGACTGTTGGCAACCAACCGTGAGAGCTTTATTTTCTGTGCAAGGACAACTCATTTATTTGGACATTTAACAATAATTTAATCAACAATCAATCATTAACAGTCAATTGCTAGTGATCAGCGTCTAACAATCAGTTCCGACAATCAGTTCCCTGTGGTCAGTTTGACAGTCAGTTCTCAGGGACCATCTGGTCAGTCTGTACTGGTAAGAGTACTCATGAGTACAGTTCAGTCTACTCCGGTCAGTGAGTCAGTGCTGGCCAGCCTCAACAGAATTTCATGCAAAGAGACTTTCCATTATCAGTATGTTAGTGCCATTGGTTTCATACAGGGAGATCTGTCAATCTTCATTGACCAGACCAGTTTTGCAGATGACACTATCCACGATCTGAGGCCTTACCTGAAGAAGGGCAAGGAGACTCATGAGCTTTTTGATCCAGTCTGGATCTCAGCCACTGAATATCTTGAACAGAGAGAGAGGGAGCTTGATGAGAGTGGCACTACGTTGATTCGCAACTTTGGGCTTATGCTCTATATTGACTATCCTAGGCCTCCAGTCTCTTCTCTTCTTACAGACGATACAAGTTGGCTGAATGCGATCGGTTTGACAAAAAAATATATCTCTCTTGCAGTAATCGACATTGAGGCATTAACCGAGCCTACCGAGTATCCCTACCTCAGGCGAGGAGTCTTTTCAGTGGACGGACTGCCTACCTTGTGGGAGGAGTTCTGCTCCATGGTTGACTACCGTGTCATGTGCCTTGGATGGTCATGTTCAGAGCTTGCTGGCTACAGGTGGCTTTTTGTTACGAGACCTCAGTCTCAGATTGTACGTGGACGTGGGTCACGGCACCAGAGAAGATCAATGAAAAGAGATTGCGAGAGACTGACCTGAGAGATGAGTGAGGACTCTTGAGAGGTGATGACCATGTCTGTTCACATGTACTTTCTGACATTATTATGAGTCCTCATTCTTCCCTCATTCAATTGTCCATGTCCTTGCTCGAGTCAGTCAGTCTTATTTTCCGCATTATTCTTGCTTGATAATTGCCTTCGTGGATGTTTTGTTACAGTTCTCAAAATCAGATTGACAGAATTGATGCATGCATAGCACCCCATAATTTTATGATTATTATTTGCATGATTCTCTGCTGTTCCGAATCAAAATAAAAGATTCTTAAGACCGGGGACCAGCGAAGACCGCAATTGAAGGGTCTCGCTCGAAGCCGGACGCACACAACAGGAAGGGATTTGCATTATTTAATTTATTGCAATCAAATACAAAATCCTGCGTGACAGTCTGTTGGCTTTCCGGTCGCCCGAGGTGGCTCGACTGGAAAAAGTGCGACAATGTGCCCCTTATGCTACAACATACGAGAAACGCCCTTGGCTGGGCCACCTCCGCGATTGCACGTAAAAGCTTCCGCGTGTGGTTCAGTAGCTCGGTGGGGATATGCCCACCCAAGGGATGGTGACAGCTCCCGCCGGTGGAGGCAAGTTGTACCTCGCGGGATCCTATCCTATCGTAGGGACTCGATAGATATAGCTGGCGCACTCAGCTCGAGTGGCTCTGCTGTTTCCTCTTTCCTGAAGCGATTTCCGAACCTGCTAATCCTGCATGACGCGGTCGGGAAGGTCCCCCCAGCGGAACCGTGCGCTCGACAGCGTGTTGTTGTTGTCCATGTTGTCCTCCACCAGTTGTCGGCGTTCAAGGTTCGCATGAGGGTTACAGCTGCACGCTTTTGCCCACCCCTTGACCATTGTCTTCGTTGCGCTTTTCGGTGTTGTCCTGGTCATGGTTGCAAGCATTGTTATGTTCACCTTTGCAGGTCTTGTTGCTTTGTATTTCCTGATGCATCCGTGATGAGCACCATGCACCATGCGGGTTTGTGGACTTGTGGATAGACAGAAAGGTGCCTATATGTGATGGGTAGACAGAAAGAAAGATAGGCATATAGATAGAGAGATGGATGTATGCATAGTTAGATAGATAGATGGCGAAGATAGATAGATACATAGATAGATACATAAATAGATATATAGATAGAGATATAGATAGATAGATGTATAGATAGATAGATAGACAGATAGATAGTGCGGACGTGAGAGAACAGGGGGCAGGATCTGTTGAGGGCGCCCAGCCTGCAAATCGTCCATTTGGTAGGAGCTTTTGGGCACACACGAGTTTGGTGAGTTCTCCACCCGTCCAGACTGCTGGTCTGGACATACCTTTTCCTTTGTCTTTAGCGATCCTGTCGGGACACGATTCTTTCGAAACAGAAGTTTGGTGAGGTGGTGCGGCGAGGCCTGGGTTTGGTGAGGTTTTGAGTCCTCGCTGTGTTGGTGAGCACTCACCAAACATTTTCAAGATTGGTGAGCAGTGCGGCGAGGCCTGAACGAGCTGTATCGAGCTGAACATTGCGACGAACATCCCGACACAAACGAGTTGCGTGGGGACAAACATCCACGCACGCTCTCTGTAAGGTAGGTTCTCTCTACACGGGTGCATTTGAACATGAGCATGTCCAAGCGGGAAGTTCATTCCCGTTTGGTGCAGCGGGGCCCTCTCTCTCTCTCTCTCTCTCTCTCTCTCTCTCTCTCTCTCTCTCTCTCTCTCGTCCAAAGCATTGAGTAATGAACGACCAATTTCCTCCCCCCACCCCACAAAAAAAAGGTGCTCTCTCTCTCTCTCTCTTTCTCTCTCCCTCCCTCTCTCTCTCTCTCTCTCTCTCTCTCTCTCTCTCTTTCTTTCTCTCTCTCTCAGAGTTCGACAAAAGAAGACAAAGTCGAAGAAACGCCGAAACAAAAAACAAAGAAATTCTGGAAAAAAATGAAAACTCGGCGCGAGTGTGTTGTGTGCGAATGTGCGTCACACAGAGCGAGAGCGAGCAAGCGAGCGAGCGAGAGCGAGAGAGAGAGAGAGAGAGAGAGAGAGAGAGAGAGAGAGAGAGAGAGAGAGAGAGAGAGAGGGAAACTCGTGTGCATGTATGTGCGATCGCAGGTTGAATGTGTCACGTAACAGAGTTGTAGCAGTTGGTCGATAGATCATCACCTTCGCACGGTGGCGGGGAGGTTTGCTTTTGCCTCAGTCCATTGCCACACACACACACACACACACACACACACACAGAGAGAGAGAGAGAGAGAGAGAGAGAGAGAGAGAGAGAGAGAGAGAGAGAGAGCGGGGGGGGGTCTTCACTACCTTCTCTCTTTCTGCAAAGCATTGGCGAGGAGTGCTGGCGTGCTGTTGCTATTGCAAGTTTGCAGAAGTTGTGCGTCGGAGCAACTAATAGTAAAAGACAGGTGGATATGGCTTCAGCAGGTAAGACAACACAAAACAAAAGTTTCCTTCCTATCCTCCTTCTCTTCCTCCTCCTCCTCCTCCTCCCCTCTTCATCATCAGTCATCTTCAACCCCTCCACGTCATCAATCATGGTCAGCCTCCACGTCGTCATGTTTGACATCAGGAATCATTGGGTTTTTTTTTTTTTTTTTGAGGACTTTTTGTCTTTCATGGTTTACGTGGTCTACATGGACGACGGGAGAGGAGAGTGAGGAGGAGGAGGAAGATGTAGACGGTGTAGATCTTTCAATTTCTTGAGAGACTATGGAGAGGAGGAAGGCGTGGACTCTCATGGTATGATGATTCTGATTCACGGCTGTGGAAAGCTGATCGCGTCACTGGCAAACCCAGCGTATGAGCCTCGCTGCGCTGCTCGCCGAATGTGCCAAGAAACGTTTTGTGTCCCGTGCAAAAAAAAAAAAAAAAAAAAAAAAAAAAAGACAGTCGGCACAACGAAAACAGTCGGCAGCGGTCCTGTTTCAATCTATAGGGGCTTTTTTGTTTTTTGTTTTTTGTGTGTGTGTGTGTGTGTGTGTGTGTGTGTGTGAGAGAGAGAGAGAGAGAGAGAGAGAGAGAGAGAGAGAGAGAGAGAGAGAGAGAGAG